AAAGACAGTTCCTGGCCCAATTCCCTGAAATAGCTCCCAATGACAAGTCCCCATGCAGAACGAATGCTTTATCTCGCCGCAAATATTGGAGCTGATGTGACGACTGCGCTGAGTGAGATCATGACTGGATGGAGTTGGTTTTGCACTTTCAATAACGGACCATTATTTTGCATAACAGATTTTTTTTTTGTTTTTAAGATTTTTTTTTTCTTCAAGGTCAAATGAACTAAAAGACTTCAGAAAAATGAAAAAATCTTGAAAAATCAGACCTGTAGCGTGGTCTGGTTTGGTCTCCATGAAAATGCCACACTGTGAAACATTCCAGACAAAACAATAACATCTCAAAGTATTGTCCACCAGAAAAGTTACACAATGCACCTTTAAGTGAGGTAATGGAGTGATAATAATTTGGTTGGAGTGTGTCGCTGGACTTTACTCTAGATCTGAGCCATGATCCTGGTCTGGAGGAGCTTGTGGGACCCTTCTCCACATCCAGTGCTGGGAAGGTGACTTTTCAAATGTAATCCCTACAGATTACAGATTACATATCCCAGAATGTAGTTTGTAATGTAATCCATTAAATTACTTAAAGTGAGTAACGTAATCTGAATACTTTGGATTACTTGATGGGGGTGGATATAGCCCAAAATGTGAAAACTGGAAAACGGGAACATACCACCGTGTAATCCATTTATTTTAACCAAGTAACTGTAATCCAATTACCACGCACTGAAACAGTAACTGTAACTGAATACAGTTACTCATCATTTGTACTCTGATTATGTAACTCTGATACATGTAATCTGTTACTCCCCAACACTGTCCACATCTGATCATGATCCTGTGGTCTGTAGTACTGAGCTGGACTTGACTTTAGATCTGATTGTTGGTCAGGAGTACCGAGCAGGATTCTTCTCCAGATCTGAAACAAATCAGAGTCAGTAGTACAAAGCTGGACCTTTTTTAAGATATGGACCAGTACCTAATTAGACCCTCCTCCATATCTGAGCCAGGATCAAGGTCTGAAGAACCTTCTCCAGATCTGACCCATGATCCTGGTTTGGAGCACCTACACATTTTTGTTGTTGCTGTTTCTCGTTTTTGTTGTTGCTGTAGCGTGGTCTGGTTTGCTCTCCATAAAAATGCCACACTGTGAAACATTCCAGACAAAACAATAACATCTCAAAGCATTTTACACAAGAAAAGTTACACAATGCACCTTTAAGTGAGGTAATGGAGTGATAATAATTTGGTCTGAGTTTCACTATCACCAGTGTTGGGGAGTAACAGATTACATGTACCATAGTTACGTAATCAGAGTACAAATTATGAGTAACTGTTATTACAGTTACTTTGTTGAAATAAATGGATTACATGGCGGTATTTTCCTGTTTTCACATTTCGGGCTATATCCCTTTCACCCCCCCCCCCCCCCCCCCCCAGTAATTCCACTCATTGCCGGACACTAAACCTAAACTAGGTCTAAAACCAAGTCTAAAACCAAGTCTAAAACCAAGTCTAAAACCAGGTCTAAATCCAGGTCTAAACCAGGTCTAAACCAGGTCTAAACCCAGGTCTAAAGTAGGTTTAAACCAGGTCTAAAACGAGGTCTAAACCAAGACTAAACCTGGACTAAAACCAGGACTGAACCAGGTCTGAACCAGGACTAAACAGGTCTAAATCATGCTACATGGACCATGTCTCCTCCTCTTCTATCAATAATATTTTTAATACGGTTCAGTAAAGTCTGGGCTTTTTCATTGTCTTTTAGCAGACAATATATCTTAGGTGAAGATTTCCTCATCTTTGCATCTCTACATCAAATCAAGTAATCCAAAGTATTCAGATTACGTTACTCACTTTAAGTAATTTAATGGATTAATGATTTTGGGGTATGTAATCTGTAATCTATGGGGGATTACATTTTAAAAGTAACCTTCCCAACACTGACTATAACTCACCACTGACCTGAGTGGGACCTGCAGATATACACCTGTGTGGGAATTGAACCAACAACCTCCTCCCAGAGAACACTTCACATGTACATTAAGGATGAGGTGTTGAATAAACTGGTCCAGTATAGATGTTTACAGAAGGATTTGCCTCATGTTCACTCGTGAGTCACTGTCCTCGGAGAACATTTATTATCATTCCTGCTCCAGTGGCACAGTCTTTTCATTTGGAGCAGCTGTAGATTGTGAGTGTTTGTGTGCCTATGGGCAAACAGCGAACGTGGCAGAAGTAGATGTGCTTTAGTTTGGTGTCGCTGCGCCGTGAGTTACAAAGTGTCATGAACATGAGCGTGGAGGTAAAGAAGAGAGGAAAGAGAAGCAGAGAGTTGGAGAGGCTGTGTGCAGAAGTGCCGTGTCCCTCCGTGGGCGTTCAACCTGCCTGTGTTTGGTATTCCGTGCACAAGCCTCCCACGCCCCGTGTGTCCGCCCACGCGCGGATTTGCGTCACGCAGGGAGCAGCGTGGGCGAGGAAGACAGAAGAGAGAGAGAGAGAGAGAGAGAGAGAGAGAGAGAGAGAGAGAGTGGCATCCGCGCGGAATCTCCCACTTCAGCCGCGCGTCTGTCAAGCTGCGTCAGGAGCGCAGCGCGTACCGGAAACACGACAAAACAACACACAAAAATCATTTCATACAACAAGAATACACATATACTATGATAAACAAGAATACACATATACTTTAATATAATAAACAATAACACACATATACTGCAATATAATAAACAAGAATACACATATACTATGATATAATAAACAATAAAACACATACTATGACATAATAAAACATTAATAAACATATACTATCATCTAATAAACAATTATAAACATGTATCATATAATTAACATAATAAACATATAATATGATATAATAAATAAGAATAAATGACATTTGGGAGGTGATGTGGCCACTGATTGAAATGAGACACTGTAAAAACCTTTCACTTGTCATTTTTGCGTGTGTTTTATGTGGGTCTGGGTCTGTGACAAAATAACCTCCAGGCTATGCTGGAGTGTGAATGAGCACGCCTCAGTACTTTACCACAAAAGACTAAAAACAAAACTTTTCAAATGTCGTAGATCTGTAGAATGTAGAGCGGGGGTCTCCAGCCTGCAGCTCTCCACCTCTTTCCAAGTAGTTCACCAAAGAATTTCTGAATGATACGTTTTGAGCTGATTAACTCAAATTTGATAAAAAGAATGTTAAAAAACTGTTAAAATTGTAAATGTATAATTTTCACACCTAACTTTACTTTCTGCACTAATAAATGGATAATAGTCAACAGTGGTGGAGTTAGCAATTTTGAGGGCCCTAGGTGAACTTGAGTTGGGACCCTCACTGTAATGCATTGTTTTTTTCCCCCATTGTTCTTGAGACACACATCTCTATTTTATTATGGTAAATTGGAAACTTGTCTTATTTGTTAGGAAACCTAGTAGATAACAAAAGTTCAAAGTAGCTTTATTTTTTTTTACTACTACTACTACTACTACTACTACTATACTACTATAATAATAATAATAATAATAATAATAATAATAATAATAATAATAATATATTATTATTATTATTATTATTATTATTATTATTATTATTATTATTATTATATATTTTTATTTATTAGGCCCTTTCCGGACACTTAAGGTCGCCTTACAACAGAGGTCACCAAACTTTTTTCTTCTTCTCTTGTGGCCACATTATGGCTCCTGACTGTGATGGGGGCCGGGGTGGAGTCGGTCGTATAACAGCACTGTATGACTCTGACGACACAAATGATATTCTTTGAAAATCACCACACTTTCTTTACATACCAGACAAACTATACACTCCTCACACTGAACACAAAAATAATCAGTTGTCCACTGTTCTTTGAAAACTCTGTACACTCTGTCAAGTTTTCGTACTTTAACATTTGCAATTTTACTGTCATTAACTGCACTACAGTACTCTATACATGTGTTGACTGTCTGATCTTGAGCTTGTCAGGTAACAAAAATTTGGCAGCAAATATTTAAACAGAAATACTTCATATAAATATATATTTTTAATTGGAAAAAAAATCTACAAAATGCAATATTCAGACGTGTTATTATTTGCCAAAAAGTAATAATAATTAAAAAAAATAAAAATAGGCCATGACACTTTTGAGGATTGTCTCATAGGGCCAGTTCAAGTGTTGGGGGCATGGGGGCTGGGGGCCGGGCAAAGGGGAGTGGAGGGCCAGAGTCAGCCCGCAGGCCTTAGTTTGGTGACCCCTGCATTACAACACCATAATCAAGTTAAATACTATTAAAACGTTCAGTTAAAAGCACAGTACAGTTAAAGTTGGACAATATTTTATTTGATTGTATTTCATTCAATTTCATTACATATGATGATTATTATTTTTCTGATGATTATTGTTTAAAAGTAAACTACTCTCATCTCATGTCATATTGAGAGAAAATCAAAATGCTCTGAGGCCTCGACCACTAGTGGCACTGAGGACAATTAGTTGGGGGCCCCTCCAGGTTTGGGGGCCCTAAGCAGCCGCCTGCTTTTGCCTAATGATAGCGCCGCCTCTGATGGTGTATGTTTCATATAGACCTCTAACTGTTCCTGTCTAAGGCTTTGGCTTTTGGCTTTTAGAATCACTCAGTTTTCTAGAATTACTTTAGGATTACTCAGTTTCTTGCGGCTGGTAAAACCTGTAGCTCTGTGGCATTTTGGTTTTGTAAAGGAGCTCACTGGAGGAAAAAAGGATGGAGACCCCTGAGTAGAGCCTTATACAAATCTGCAAAGTCCACCAATACTTGTAGAAAAAATCAGCCCGTGTAAAACCGTAGCAGCCGCCCCCAGGCCTCCTTCTCCCTCTGCCTCTGCCTCTGCCCCTCCCTCTGCCTCTGCCTCTGCCCCTCCCTCTGCCCCTGCCCCTCCCTCTGCCTCTGCTGAAGTGAGGCTTTTATTTTGTGTGCGAGCGGAAACGCGTGCGCACTGCGTGTACCTTGACGGCTCTGAGAGTGCAGAGGAGAGGCGCTGGAGAGGAGGACTCACACACGTCCACACACGCACTCTCCTATTCACACGCACGCCCCATGCACGCAGAAAGACGACGGAAGGTCACCGGCTTCTGATTTGGACGTGTTCTTCTTACGCTGCGTCAGGTGCCAAAGTTTCCACGGAGCGCATGAGGGCGAGCGGCGCGACTGTCTGCGGCCGGAGGGGAATAAAGAATTGATCAGGAACTTGCTCCGTCTCAGTCTCGCCGCTGTTGGACTCTTATCGCTGCACGAAGACTTGGAAGTTTGGAAAGGAGCAACGGACTCGAGTCAAGCCGAGCCAGGACGCGCTAAAGGGGGCACGAACTCTCCAGGTAGGCACACCGGTACACTGGGAAGGCTCGCCGTGTGCTCTGGGCACTGGCAGGTTGGACCGAAGCCATTGTAGTCTGAGATCTAAGAAAGCTACTGAATGCACCTCGAGAGTCCATCCAAAACTATTTACTGCAAACTCAATGTATTTATCTGACTGTTTGACGATGATGGTTTTGAACGATGATGCAAGTTTGAATAGTGAGCCCGAGCATGTAATAAACTACATCTATTGCCACTTTTACGATGGTTAATGACACAAATAGGCTATGTTCTGAAATATATCGCTTCAAATTCCCTGTGTATAGTAGTAGACCTGACATATATTGCTTTAAAGTGCATGTTCTTTTTGACCAAGTTGTAATTCCTGCATTCTATTAACAACACATGTTTTATCAATGTAATATTTGGACTTACATATCCCCTATAAGTATTGCTGTTATCTGAAACATGAATAACTTCATATACTGTAGAGATATACATCTGTTTACTTCATTTTGGCTTTGTATTATTGTAATATTATTCTGCATTACTATAATTATATTCATATTTGGGTTATTATCAATAAAAGAGAAAGGGTTTCTGAGCCTTACAAGACAATAAGTCTCTTACAATCAACAGTAATAATGTCCAGTTTTGTCCTGGTTTAGTTCTAGTTAATTCTCCTTCAGTCCTGGTTCTGCTTTGTCCCAGTTGTCTGTACAGCTCTGCTCTTTACACACATATCCTGCGTCTAACATATCAACTCTATCCCACTGTCCCACCCACCAGCAGGTGCGAAACCCAACGCACCTTTAGTGACGTCATCACGCCCACATTGGCAAGGTGGGGTCCCAACTTTAGAAATGGCACATGCGTTTGGAGAGAGTGAGTGTGCAGGGCATTCTTCAAAACTACGGCAGGGTACAGTGACGGGAATGTTGTGTTATCAAGGGAATCAGTGGATGAAACCAGACGCTACAGGAGGTGAATGTTTTGTGCAGGCGACTTACAGTGAAGTTACAGTGAAGAATTTGTCCGTCAGTGTTTGAATTACGCAAAAAATACAGTGTTGATATTGGCCTTAAACTAAGAGATGTGGTTTGTTTTTTTGGGAAGCTCGTGTCAATAACATTCTATCATCTGTGGTTACAGCAGCAGTTTTATTTACCCAATGTATAACCAATGATATTATGATATAAAATAATCATTTAAGAGAAAATGTAGTACTATTAAAAAGTCATTTGCACTTTCAGCAGTCTTTGTAAACACTGAGTAAACCTGACCTACACTGAACACATTTGTACATTTAGTTTGAAGTTACTGTAGTGATAATATCCTTGACTAGGAGCTGTTAGTAACTTTTTTCTTTTTACTTCAAGTTGATTTTATATATTTAAGTCTATAGAAGCAATTTAAAGTCACTTTGTAGCCAAGGAATAGTCTAAAATAAAAGCATATTTTTTTTTACATTTTTGGTTGTGTTTATTGTATAAAAAACTCTTATTTGTCTTGAAGGAGGGCCTCCTCCTGCTTGTCAACAGACAGATGATATCCCTTTGGTTATAATATTCCACACAGTGTCATAAAACTCATTCTGTTTCCATGGAATCATGCAGGTGACATTCTACCTCAGCAAACATACATACTGTACTGACGACTTTCTCAAGTGGTTAACCTGTGTTTTCATCCTAGTGTAAAGTGATACTAAATCTAACTTTCATTTTCACAACTGGTGAATATATGCACTCGTCAGTTTTTCACTTCATTTCAAATATTGTCCATCGAACCCTGAATCTCCATTGTGCTGTATGAAGGCAGTATTTGTGCGAGTGACTTCCCCTGCGTCGCTCCTCCGGCCCCGGCGCAGGCTCTATTCTGGGCGAGCCGATCCCACCGCCCACACACCGAGCCTGGGTGGAGACAGGCATGTGCTGCCGCTGCTGCTCTGGAGCTCCCAGCCACTCCTGACACAGAGGAGAGAGAAAGAGGGAGAGAACGCCCCCGCACTGCCCCGGAACACTGCACAGATCTGGGCTTAACCGCCGCTGCACAGGGGGGTCAAGTGACAGGCACGGACCAGCTTTAAATGTGTTGTGATTGTGAATAAGGAAGTCAAATATACTAGAGTGAGTGGTCGTCTGAGTAGTTGTTGAAGGACTATAAATATTCTCAGTCGTAGCAGCAGGGCAGTTGTACTGTTGTCTTCATAGTAACAGTAGCAGGATTAGAAGTAGAAAAAGTCATCTCTGTAGTAGATGTGGAAGTACAGGTGATAGAAGAACATTTTCACTAATGACTGTCAAAAGTGTTGAAAAACGGATACTAAAAGATACTAAAACTAGTATCAAAACTAGATCCTCATTTGAGCAAGTGTTGATACTAAACATACAAGTCCCATTCACAGAATAGAAATGAACCTTTCCTGGATAACTTTAGAATGAGCTGTATCAGAAGAAGTATAAAAGCACAAAGACTACCATGGAGCGCTACAGAACCTACCTAGACCACTGAGGGATTGCACACGTCATTTTCCAGACCTGGAAAAGTCATTGAGTTTTGTAAATGCAATGAAAGTTTTGGAAAAGTCATGGAATTTTAGTATCTCTTTCTCGCAACTCCAGTGTTCTGTTAAGTTCTCAAGATGCTATTATTATTTCTAAACGTCTGCGCCTTTTGTTTAAAAGAGATGACAATAAATGCACTGACAGGATTTGGAATGTTAAAAAACTATAATCCCAAACCATAAGGTGAGTGGAAAGAGTTCACATTTCAGATTTAGCCCTAAAAATCTTATCAGTTCTACACATGTAGGTGTTGTAAAGTAGGGCTGCTCAATTATGGAAAAATCATTATCACGATTATTCTAACAATATTTTTTTAGTTACATGATGCATTAACACTTTGATATTGATAATGTATGCAAAACTTTGAAATTGAAAAAAAACTCAAGCTACAAATCTGACCCTTAGAGCAGTTTTATGATGTATAAAACATAAAATGCATCAAATATGCTTTGAACATGAAATAAACTTAAATGTATCCAAAATAAATTATATCCAGCTGTTCTACAATCTCTATATAAAAAAATACAATAAATATTCTTATTTATATAAAAATATCCCAAAATAAATGTTGTTAAGCTTTAAAATCGTTTCAGTTATGAGTTTGGAGATTGTTTGACAGGAAATTGCCATTAAAATTTGATTAATTGCACAGCCTTACTGTAGAGTCGTGGGAACCCTGAAAAAAGTACTACCATTTAATGTTTAAAAAAGTAGAAAATGACATCAGAATCTTGGTATTTGAGTAGAGAGTATTGAGTCTGTTAAGTATCAAAATAGAGTTTGAAATATTAGTATCAAGATGAACAGTAGTAGTGAGCTCGTTGTCATACTATGATTGTAATATTGTAGTAGATTTTTAACTGCAGCTTGGTTGTAGTTTTTGACATGATTCTGCCTGGAAGTAGTATTAGGCTACAAGTATTTTAATGATAACTGAACTTAGACGTCAACTTTATTGGTCCACCAGGGAAATTATTTGAAATTATTTGAAGTATTGATAATTGTAGTCATTGTACTGTAGCAGGATAGAAAGTAGTAGTACCACTAGCCAAAGCAAATGTAATTGTAGTCGCGGTATTGGTAAGAAAGTCCAAAAAATAAGATGATATATAAAGCATCCCTCTGTTAGCATCCATGTGGTTCTCAGCGTGGAACGTGGGTCAAAGGTCACGGGAACATCTGAGCAGTCTGAAGGACAGAGTGAGATATGAGAGCAGTTTATCTCGTGGTTATTAAAGCAGCTAAATATGTGCGCGCACCAAAATACCCCAACTCCATCTGTCTGTGGTCCGACCGCTTCCAACTCTATTGTCAATTGAAATAACAAAGGGGATGCCAATACCCGCGTTTGCTTCCAATTGTGAAAATGATTAATACAGTGTAATACTATTGTGTGCAGTCGGACTTAGTGCAGGAAAAGCCTCATTTGTTAGGCCATAATTCTACATCCATAATAGACTTAAGTGCTTAATGTGACGAGACAACGCAGGAATCGTTTTACAATTTGAATCGAGCTATAGGCAGGAAACAACACTAACCTGAACTGGTACGAGCTTTGACACTTACTATCATTTATTTTGTGTACTACTGTTACCTATTCTTTAGTTCAAATGTCCTCCTTAAGTATAGTGAGCTTATATGGAGTCTTCTTCAGTTGTCTACAGCTAACATGCTGTCATAGTGTGTCCAGACGTCCCTGTTTACCCGGGACAGTCCCAGTTTTGACCCTGTGTCCCCTGTCCCAGCACATTTATACTAAACCACTGATTTGTCCCAGTTTTATACAAAAAATGTCCTAGGTGTCCATATTTTGGACCAATCTGATCCTGCCAACAGTAAAGACATAAACTGTCATTTGTTTCACGAAAATACAGAAAATCTGCTTAAAAACAACAAAAACACAAAGAAAATGTGATTATACTGACTCACATTAGTGCAGAGCAGTTTTCCTTAATTTCACACTCGTTTCACAATTGTATTATTACCAACCACAAAACAGGGGTGTCCCAGTTTTTTATTTAGAAAATTTGGTCACCCTAAACATGCTGTCGTCTTCCTCAAGTAGCTAACATCCTCAGGTTTGGTTTACATGATGTTTTCCTGAACTGTAGCCAACATGTTGTCCAACTCAAGTGTAGCCAACATGTTGTCCAACTCAGGTGTAGCCAACATGTTGTCCTCCCAAAATGTAACATGTTATTCTCTTGAGGTGTGGCTAACATGTGATCCTCCTCAGGTGTAACATATTACCCTCCTTGGGTGTGTCTAACTTGTGTTCGTCCTCAGGTATGGCGGCGGTGTTGCCCCGGACACTGGGGGAGCTGCAGCTCTACCGGATCCTGCAGAGGGCCAACCTGCTGTACTACTACGAGGCGTTCATCCAGCAGGGTGGCGACGACGTGCAGCAGCTGTGTGAGGCGGGTGAGGAGGAGTTCTTGGAGATCATGGCTCTCGTGGGCATGGCCAGTAAACCTCTGCACGTGCGCCGGCTACAGAAGGCCCTGAGGGACTGGGTCACTAACCCCGCGGTGTTCAACCAGCCGCTCACCTCTCTGCCCGTGTGCAGTATCCCCGTGTACAAGCTCCCGGAGGGCTCCCCCGGCCTGCTCCCCGCTCAAGACCGCCCCGGGAGCGCCAAGATGCCCAAAGCCCTGCCCTGCGCCGACCCCGGGAAGCTGGAGGTCACCCGGGAGAAGGTGTCCGCCTCTCCCCTGCAGGGTGGCAGTGAGGCGCGCTTCTGGTCGGGCCACAGTAACGACAGTGAGCACAGCCTGTCCCCGTCCGACCTGGGCTCCCCGTCCTCGCCCAGGGAGGGGCTGGAGGCTCTGGACGCCGCTGCCGTGCAGTCAGTTCTGGAGTGTGTGGAGAGGATGGCCCCAGGACTGCCCAAAAGTGACATTAGCGAGGTCAAAGAGCAGCTCAAGACCAACAAGAAACTAGCCAAGATGATCGGACACATCTTTGACATGAACGAGGAAGACCCGCGCAGGGAGGAGGAGATACGCAAGTACAGCGCCATCTACGGGCGATTCGACTCAAAGAGGAGGGATGGGAAACACCTGACACTCCACGAGGTGAGCAAAGAACAACTCAACTGTGTCCATACATCTGTAGATTCACTCTGGTCATTTTAGAACTTAAATGACCTTCAGCACAGTGTGTCTTTTACTAATATGGATACTCGCAGCTGAATCACAGTCTTCTTTGAACCTCGTGTATCTTCAGTGGTATCACCATGACGAATCAGAGCTGTATTGTTGTTGTGTGCAGTTGACGGTGAACGAGGCGGCGGCCCAGCTCTGTATGAGGGACATGGCTCTGCTGACGCGCCGGGACGAGCTGTTTGGACTGGCCCGACAGATCTCCAGAGAGGTCACCTACAAGTACACCTACCGCACCAGCAAGTAAGACATCACGACCAGGGGTGTGCACAAATATTGAAATATAAATATATCGTTGATATTGTTTAATGTGATGAATCTGATGATACAGTATCGATATCATGGTCTGCTGTATCCATATATCGGCAAGAGTATTTTTGGTGTATTTTTGTAAATGATTATGTTACAGTTAGGGCTGGTATCATTAAGAAGTTGCTGATACGATACGTACCTTGATACACAGACCACGATACGACACATATCTCAACACACTTTTGATTCAATACGATATATTCGATTTGATACAGTTCAATAAAAATAAAATCATGATACTAAATGATGATACTAAAAATCTTTGTTAAACCACTTCTTGTGTAAAGTTCATATGAAACACAAACATTTAAATCATCAAAACAGTGAAAATGTCAAATGTGTCACATAAACGAGTTTCCTTCCTCTGAACAAACAACAAAACTGTAGCTGTAACAAAATAATTGAGTAAAATACACCAAAAAATCATGGCGATATATCGATACAGCAGCCCACGATATGGATACTGTATCATCACATTAAACGATACGATATATCAATATTTCAATATTTTTGCACAGCCCTAGATACAGAGCCACACTTTTGTTGCTTGTTTAATGGAAGGAAACACATTTTTGCAACACATTTGACATTTTCACTGTTTTGATGATTAAAATGTTTGTGTTTCATATGAACTTTGCACAAGAAGTGGTTTAACAAAGACTTTTAGTATCACAGACATGATTTAGCCTTTGTTTTTATTGAACAGTATTGAATCGATTTGAAATGTATTGTAGTGAATCATGTCATATCGTAAGCTCACTATATCAAGATATGTATCGTATCGTGGTCTATGTATCGTGGTATTGGCAACTTGTGAATGATACCAGTCCTAATCTCTACCACAAGGAGAGGCTCAAACATGGAGGGGCAGGGTCTTAGTTTGTCCAGTGAATAATTTGGAGCGTCGACACCAGCAGTGGAGAGGATGAGGGGGCTGGTCATTCTGCTGCTTCAGTCACTGTTGGCTGTGTTATGTCTGTGTATTTATTTTAACTTCCGCTGCGCTCGTTTATATTTATGTTTCTGCTCATGTGCAGATCTCGATGTGGGGACAGAGACGAACCGTCTCCGAAAAGAATCAAAACAGAGGAAAACTTCTTCGACCTCCAGGAGGCTCTGCAGGCGATCCACATGAGGCAGGAGATGCTGAGGGAGCAGTTGGCCTGTGCCAAGTCCAAAGGAGAGGAGACTGTGGGACGCAATTTACAGGTAACTCACGAGATACAGTCACATATTTAGAGGTCATTTAAAGGTCACATGTGCACTTTTGTGTTAGAGGGGACATACATTTGTTTTATTATGTCATAGCTATGTGTAGTTAAAAGTCTGTGTAGTCTATTTCCTGTTTTGATGAGAGAAATCAAGTTAAAAGTTGAATGTTTATATATATTATAAACAGCCACGTTTACATGAGAGTTTTAATTCAGAATAAAAATAATTTAATTCTGAATAAAAATTAATTCCACTTTAAAAAGTCCATGCAAACACTTTGTTCCGAATGAAAATGATTATTTGGAATTCAACTTAATTCTGAAGTAAGTGGTGGTTTATTGAGATTTTAAAGCCAAATTTATGTATCCCTCGATCATGTTCCACATTTATTCTTGTTAAAAATAATGCGGGCGTTTTGGCGCACGCTCGTTGTGTCGCCCTTCTGACGCGATCCGAACGTCATCCACGTCTCTTTGGATTTGTGAGTGGGATGCAGGAGTGCGCTGAGGTAGAGCAGCCTCACACTCAGTTTTATTATCGTAGAAACATCTGCAGTAAAAAGTTTAGATCATGTTTGTGTCTGTGGCGTAACGACAAACCGAGATGACAGAAAAGCCGGTTGCAGCTGAAGTGTGTTTTTTCTTCCAGTTGATGTAAATACGTTAGTGTCTTTGTCCAATCAGAACCTTCCCCACTCCCAGACGCTGAGAGGAATTAAATAAAGATGAGTTTTGCATGGAAACCTCAATTCAGAATTATTATTTCTACGTAAATTTGAAGGAGAATATTTTAATTTCGAATTATTTAATTCAGAACCATTCATTTGGAATAAAATAAAAAAATCATGTAAACGTGGTCATTGTAATGCGTTGGTAGAAGTCTTGTGATTCTCAAACTGTGGTACAGCTTCTACACATCGACCCTTTAATGCTCTTTAATGTTGGCGAGGCTTTACTGTTAGAAATGTCTGAAAAGCCAGACGTTTAGTAAAGATAATTATGGAGCTTGTTTGCTGGTGTGTCACCGAACCTATTTCACCTATTTCACCTATTTCACCTGTCATGAAATTGGTGAAGTGCTTGCTCACCAACCCCAACTCTCTTGTGTCCTTGGGCAAGACACTTCACCTATACTACCCTCTTCTGCCCCAACATGTATGAAGAACAGGAACTCATTAGAACAGGAATAATATGTAAAAAACTCACTTTGCTGTAGTCATCTGTAAATGAGCTTTTATTTTGTCCATATTGCTGATATAGTACCACACTCATGAATACTGTTTCCCCGTGTGGTTCCCAGAAGTATTCATGATGCGAGTATGTTTATTTACATGTACTGGAAGGCCCAGTCTGCTGTCAGCCTCTGTCTTTATTAGTTTCCATGTTCCTCATTAGATCCAGCGTGGGAGGAGGAGGCTTTATGATCAACCATTATACTCAAATGTGTGTGTCTGTGTGTATGTGTGCTGGTGCATCCTGGGTAATCCAACACAGACACTGTTGTCGGGTTGGTGTGGCATTGAGTACAGTATGGAAGAATTGGCTCACGGGTTACTTACTAAATAACTAGAGACGCCCTCTATAGGACATGTGTAATTACCGTGACAGACTGTAAATGTCACCCAGCAAAACCACAGCACTAAAACCTTTTTCTCAATTTAACATTTTAAATCAACTAAGCTGCAGGAAACATACACAGTGCATTTTAAAAGCACTTCTCTTGAAAACTACTAAGTCCAGCTCAGTGAAATTGAACAGTTTAGGTGTTGAACATCATAAGTTTAGTTGGGACTTTGTTTGCCAGGTGGTGAAGTTTTTTCAAATGTTGTATTGAAGCTTGGGTGAGTGTGTGCAGCAGATTCAAGACGTAAAATGACTTCTCTTTGTGAGTGAACGGCTCAACAAAAATAAAACATTACATATAAAATCTTTATCTGTTTTTATACATTCTGTGAAACTTTGAGATTATTTCAACAAGAATTATCCAAATGATTGGTCTGTCACCTGCTTGTTTCTATGGATATGTCATTGCTGTGCCTGAAATGTTCCACAGTGTGACATTACACAGCTCTACTTTACATTTATTCAATTACAGGTGGTTTTATAGCTCAAAAATACCTCGAAAAACAGACATTCTGACTGTGAGTGGGGTCACCTCTCCACAGATCTGACCTGTAACGTGGTCTGGCTGGTCTCCATGAAGATAGAAATGTTTAATGCCATACTGTGAAACATTCCAAACAAAGCAATAACATCTCTATGGAGATGGTCACTCCACCAGAAAAGTTACACAATGCACCTTTAACAGTAGCAGTCTATAATGAGTCAAAGATGTTGATTAATGTGCACTGTCTCTGCCAAATAAACCAAATAAATAAATAAATAAAAATGTGCTAATTACTGTACCTCAAATGTTAAAGGTGCACTGTGTAACTTTGTTCTATGTGCTTGCCTCCCTGGTGATGTAATTGCCTAAATCTTAAATCTAAACTGTGGAATATAGTATATATAGTATAGTGTATAGGCATGTGACAGGTTAGAATACTCATTTCTCTAAAACATAGTTATCATAAGCAGATTAGATTAAGCTTTTCCAAAAAAAATACAAAATACAAAATAAATAAATAAATAAATAAAGGTCTTTTAATCTTGGTGAATAATTCTTCCTGGTTGGACATGAGCTGCATTTATGACTAAGCAGACTTATGTTACCTAGCAACCATAGGTCAAAACCTGAAATTATACTACAGTTATGACTGACACATAAAAATAATGCCAACACCTTGATTTTGTTGATTCAGTGTTTAAACTGTCAGAAAAATGCCTTCTTTGCTGAATTGTTTCTGCAATTTAAATGGGATTGATTCCATAGATGGAGGGATTCTGATCTAGAGTTCAGCATTACTCCCCACACTGTCAGTCCCCATGTGTCCTGTCTCATCCCCATGTGTCCTGTCTCATCCCCATGTGTTCTGTCTCATCCCCATGTGTCCTGTCTCATCCCCATGTGTTCTGTCTCATCCCCATGTGTTCTGTCTCGTCCCCGTGTGTTTAGTTTAGTTTATTTGTTTATTTGTCAGGGACAATGCACATAAAAACATTGAGCTACACAAAGAAGTCATTTGCTTGTGCTAGGTTAGAGCAAAATTGCTCATTTCCACCTTCAGTCCCTGGACAGGTTGATGTCATAAATGGTGAACATACCAATAAAATACAATACAATGTATAGTGATGCAATTATTCACCCAGTCAAGCTAAAAGTAAAACTAGTCACATCCAGTCTCAGTCACCACATCCATACATTGTGTCGTGTCTCGTCCCCCTGTGTCCTGTCTCGTCCCCTGTGTCCTGTCTCGTCCCCCTGTGTCCTGTCTCGTCCCCCTGTGTCCTCTGTGCTCACATGACTGCTGTGTGTTGCAGATGCAGCTGGAGCGTTTGCTCGCGCGGCAGATGGAGATTCTGCAGGACGCGGCGGTGCAGGAGAGACTGCAGGCTCTGGACTGGAGGATCCCCCCCGCGGCCCTCAAGTACCTCACAGACCCCCCCGCCGCCCTCAAGTACCTGAGCGACCCCCACCACAGCAGCAGCAACGGGGCAGCGGCAGACCCCATCAGGGAGCACCAGGGTACGGCAAACTACCACAACACACAGCTGAGAATGTCACCAGAGGATGTGTCTCAATGTGACTAAGGATGTACAATCCCGATCCCAATACCGATGCCAATATTTTGGCTTCATTTAAACTCAAGCAGCACAAGTAAAAATAATCCAGATGTGCTACATAACTACAGAACACCTTTGTAAAATACAAGTGTAATATTTGTAGATGTTTTGGGCTAACACTGGCCAGTAAATCATCTTATTAAACCAGTTTATAAAATGGGATATTGACTGAACCAATATCTTGGATATCCAATACACCAAATTTTTCAATTTCGCCGCTGATATCTGATACCAGTATCGTATCAGTGCATCCCTAAAAATTATAATTAGTGATGAGAGATACTGAACAAAAATGTCTATATTTTGGAGTTCTCGCTTATTCTCGTTCTAACACGGGGCACATTATATTTTTGAAAATCTATAACAATACATGTTTTCAAGTGCCATCATTTTAGCTTCATCTGGGTCTGATTTAGTATAAAATCTTGCCATGGCTTCTCAGACTGGGAGTCACAAGATGATTTCAGCAGCATAATACAGTATATTTTATTGAGAGAACATATAAATGAACAAATATTTAACACATTTAGCCTTATTTCTTATCAAAGTCAATTTCATGCAGTGAAATCTAAACAACTAATCAATTAATCAAAGAAAATGATCTTAAATGATAATAAACTGCAGCCCTAGTGCAGCGATATCATTATACTGTATATTATGTTTGGGAAGATTACACTACAAGTTTCTGTTCTTTTTCTTCCAGCCTTTTTGCTTGTTTTCCACAACGTTCTCATCACAGACATGACTTCAAATTCTAATTCTGCACACCTTCCATAGAACCATTTGATATAGAATATTTGTGTCATGTAGCCTTCGTTAAAACATGTTACCCTCGAACCTGTAAAGACGCATAAAGCTCCTGTGTGATGTAAAGTATAGTTTAAAACACTGACTGTTGTTTGGTGCACACTGATCATTGAACACTCAACGCTGAACACTGAACGCGCTCGGTTGTAGCTGGTGACAGAAAATGAGATTGCAGTATGAGAGGATTCAGTGGGAGGAGAGAGAGGGCGGGCTCCTGTGGGCCACTGGCTGCAGGTAAACACCGTGGGCGGGATAATTACAGGTGCATTGTGGGATTTGTGGGCGCCGAGGATAATGAGCTGCTGGAGGGGTGCGTGTGGGAGGGGGGGTAACAAGGCTCAGACACAACCCAGAGACGGATGACACTTCTCACACAGTTTATTTTATCTCCATGTTTGGACGTGTTCGCATTGGTAATTCTTATTTAGTCACTTAAAATAAACACAATAGTCCAGAGAAAAACACGTATAACATATTCAAACTGGGAGTGCGCCATCTGCTGGTCACAGTGGGAGTGTGAAGTAGAAGTTGAAGCATCAAACTTTGCCTGTTTTAGCTTCAGGGAACAACCTCATGTATTTAAGAGCTCAAACAATCAGATTAGTATAATGAGACGATTATGGTGACAAGATGATCACAATTCAAAACAGGGACACACCGGGGTTGGGCTGACTGGTGTAAAGAACATTTCTGTAACTTTTGTGTATTTTGGCAAAACAAATGACAATTTATGCTCCTCTTTACTGTTGGCAGGGATGAGATTAGTCAAAACTTGTGATAGTCCTGTTTTAGTCCTGGTTTAATCTTAGTTTAGTCCTGTTTTAGTCCTGGTTTAGACCTGATAGTCCTGGTTTAGTCTTAGTTTTGTCCTGGTTTAGTCTTAGTTTTGTCCTGGTTTAGACCTGGTTTAGACCTGATTTACACCTGGTTTAGACCTGGTTTAGTATTGGTTTAGACCTGGTTTAGACCTGATATAGGCCTGATATAGTCCTTGTTTACTCTTAGTTTAATCCTGGTTTAGACCTGATATAGTCCTGGTTTAATCTTAATTTAGTTCTGGTTTAGACCTGGTTTAGACCTGGTTTAGACGTGATATAGTCCTGGTTTAGTCTTAGTTTAATCCTGGTTTAGATCAAATTGTTAAAAATAGAGACACCTGGGACATTTCTTGTATAAAACTGGGACAAATCACTGCTTTTGTTTAAATCTGTTGGGACAGGAGACACAGGCTCAAACTGGGACTGTCCCGGGTCAACAGGGACGTCTGGTCACTCTAGATCTGATGATGTAGGAGTTTTTAACCTCAGTGGAGCAGCGTAGTGATACATGGGTGCAATAGCAGTAGGAGCAGTTATAGTAGAAGTGCCTGGTTCCAAGATATAAGACTAAGTTTAGCAGTTTTGTTTGTTAACTAAGCTTTAAATTGTACCTTGAAGTGCCTGTGTCCAATTTGTGCCATGTGTTTGAGCAGAATTGAACTTCCCCCAGTACAGATATGTTGTATAAGCTGCTCTTGAGGTCAGAAGAAGTCAGCTGTGTACTGTCTGCAGCTAATTATAGAGCGTTTTATTTGTCCGACTATGAGAAAGTCTTCAGATTCATCATGGTGAATCATTAAGATGCTCGGAATGCGTAAGATGAGACATAACTCTGAATGAACTAGTATTGTTTTTCACATTTTAAGACAGTAAAAATCAGGTACTGCACCTTTAATGCTTTAGACTTTTAATTGTTTTATATGCAGTGTGAAAAGATGTCTCTGTTTACCTGGAACAGTCTCAGTTTTGAGCCTGTGTCCCCTGTACCAGCACATTAATACAAAACCATTAATTTGTCCCAGTTTTATACAAGATATGTCTTTTTTTGATCCCTGCTGATAGTAAAAAGAGGCAAAACTTGTCATTGTCCCAAAATACATAAAGGCTGCTTAAAAACGACCAAAACATAAAGAAAATGTGACTATACTGACTCACATTTTAGTCGTGAATGCAAACTGAGTGCAGAACAATTCTCCTTAACTACACACTTGTTTCACAATTTCATTATTACCAACCACCACAAAACAGGGATGTCCCAGTTTTTTATTTTGAAAATCTGGTCACTGTATGTTAAATGTTTGTATTGTGTGTAACTTCTGTATGAAACCAAAATGATGCCAAGCAGTTTAAAATGAAACACAGTAGAGTGTGTAACTGTGGTTCTTGTTTTAATGTGAACTGTTTGTTTGGATGCAGATGAGCGTCCCATGAACCTGCGCGTGGTCAGTCAGAGCATGGCCGAGGGGGAGCTGCCTCTGGGGAAGCAGCTCGCCAACGAACTCAAGCGCCACCACAACCACAACAACAACAACAACAACAACAACAGTACCAACAGTAACACCAACAGTAACAGTCACAGCACAGAGGAGGCCAAGGCTCCAGCAGCAGGTGGGTGGGCTCGCACAGGGACCACACTAAATGGGCTTTCTGTGCAGTAGACACATGCACTACAATGGATCTGAGACAGATCAGTGCTTCTCTTTTCATTTATACCCAAGGATCTTGACCACCAACACCAACATATAAAACCAGCCCTTCAGAGGATTCATTCAGGTATTTGTTAGGCAAAAATCAAGTTCTATATATGACTCAAACCTTGTTAGTAAAATTCTAAACAAGATGTAAAAAAAATAAATTAAAAGAAACACTTGAACAGCAGAGGCGTCTTGTGTAAACCTCAAGGAGACTGAGTTTGAGAAACACTGAGATAACGACGTAAGAGTTACACTGACACACTCTGGCCAGTGAAAACTAGTCTTATTACATTATTGCTTTATGTGTTTTTCTTGACATAATCTACCAAAAATGTGCCAGAACAAAAATTGTGCAAGAATCAGTGCAGGAGTGGGCAATATGGTAAAAAAAAAAAGTGATTTTATATTAAAGGGCCACTAAACACCAAAATCACTTTTTTCTACTGATTCTCTGTGTAAATAGGCCTAAAATAGAAGTGTATCTCTATCCCTGGCCTTATTTTGACATTTTCATGCATATTTGGTCAAAGTCGTGTCTGTATCAGCCTCTTTAGGATCAGCTACAGCCAGGATATTAGAATGTTCATGTTGGACTCACGGCGCCGATGAGTCAGATACAGGCTGTTACGTGACGAGCGCAGCCACTAGTGTCTATGGGTGGGACGTGAGGAGCCTCTCTCAGCCCCGCCCCCTACCTGGCGCCGCTGGGCACCTCCATGTCCCACCGTGTGGAGAAAAGGGTCTGGGTGATCTGAGCACAAATGTCTGCTCTGTTTCAAAGTTCAGAGTGCCAATCCAGTCCAGACTGTCAATCAAAGCCCATCCCACACCCGCTCCCCCCAACCCCCCAGGCACCGCCCTCTGGAGGATTTTTCAGATTTTGCTTAGGGGCAGAGTAAAGCTTCAGGAGGAGGTTTAACGGCCCTTTACCTTGTAAGATGTAAATAGATGTAAATAATCATCTGCTTCTTGTAAAAGTTCACACGTCACACTTGGTTAAATCCAGCTGTCACTCCGTACAAAGGTTCAACAACAGGAGAAGTGGGAGGGGAAAAAAGTATCTGTGTTCAAGAGGTCAAAGCTGCATCAAACAGAGAATTACTGAATCTTGTTATGACAATATGACCAAAATAGTATGTTGCCGCAAAGTTCACAATTCAACTTTTATTAGACAGTTTAAAATAGAATGCAATAATATGGTGACCAATTCTACAAATGAATATACAGTTTATAAGTTTAGGTCTGTCATTTCAGTTTAAAATCAGTAAACCTGCTTTAATGTTTTTATTCTTATCCACCTTAACCCTTTTTGTTTCTGTTTTCAGAAAACGGCACGACGCAGCGTGGACCGGGCCCCACCGAGAAAAAGACCATCAAATCAGAACCGGAAGACTCCACATAGTGCCTCCCTGGCCCCACCCCCTCACACATAAACCCCTCCCCTGATCCTGTGCCCCGTCACCTCTGCCTTGCCCCCCGGTTCCTCCCTGGCCCGGTTCCTCCCTGACCCGGTTCCTCCCTGACCATATGCAGCTCTAGACCCTCAGTAGATACTAAGCACAGCCACAGGAGAGCCTTAACAACCAGCGATGCCTCAGAAATAGCATTTATTTTTATTTTCTTTATGTCTTATTTAAATTTGCCAAAACGTGGAGCACTCGGAGGTGTGTGCGCGCCACCCGTCCCTGTCTGCTCACTGCATGTTGTTAGTGCTGTTGACCATAGTGTGTGTGTGTGTATTATATCTACAGGTCTTTTTGTAACTGTTCAAATCACAAAGCAAACGGCGATGCAGGGGCTGAATCATATTTCATCATAACAAAATTACATTAACAATATTAAAAGGAATGACTAACTGCTAATATTAATTGTTCTTGAACTTTTTGAATCATCAAGAAAGTACATTGACTTCATCCATTATTACACATTTGAGACAAAAATCCAACGACAATTTGCTGACTGTCAAATGTGAATAAAAGGTATAATAAATCATTATGTCAGGGTTCCCAGGGTCATGGAAATCCTGGAAAAGTGATGGAAATTGAAAATGGCATTTTCCAGGCCTGAAAAAGTCATGGAATTTTGCAAGTTTAATGAAAGTTTTGGAAAAGTCATGGAATTTTTGTATCTCTTTCACGCAACTACAGCTAAGTACAGTTAAGTTACAACAGTTAAGTTCTCATGAGGCTTTTCTGATTATTTCTAAACATCTGTGTCTTTTGTTTAAAAGAGACAACAATAAATGCACTGACAGGATTTTGAATGTTCAAAAACTATAATCATACATTTAACATACATACAAGTCTGATCAATTCAATCAACTAATGTCAGTGAAAAAGAGTGGGAACCCTGATAATATCATTTCAGAAAAAGTAACTGCAACACTTCTCAAAATTTTGGAAAATTAAGAGTATGTGACAAAAAATTAGGTTAAATATAAAAAAAAAAATCTATATTGCATAATAAAAATACTAGGGATGTAACGATATCCAGATTTCTCGATACGATATTATCACGATACACATGTCACAGTACGATATTTAATGTGATATTTTGAAGAGACTGATATAATTGTAGATGGAACATTTTTTGCTTTTAAAATACAAGTAATTCAAGTAAAAAACATGTTTCTTCATGTTGCCTGCACTGAAATGAATCATGGGATATGTAGTTCCCAGTGTTCATAAGCTGCTGCTACTAAAAAAAAACTGCATTAAAGCAAAGAAACTTGTGATTGGATATATTGTGACAGCCCATGATATTACTATGAGACTTTTGACGATACTGTATCATGATATTTGGTTATTGTTACATCCCTGAAAAATACACTTTTTATTATGCAACACATTTTAGTAAACAAATACTCAAAAATAACTTGATGATTCAATAGACTTTTTGACCTACCATTCCTGACCATTCAGACTGAAGTGTGGACTCTAAATTCAGTGTTGGGCATATGATTTTTAATAAGAAATATTAGAATAATTTAAAATTTGAGATATGTTTCAGTCCCTGCATCCAGTCTGCATCTGAACCGTGTTATGATCCTGTTGTGTCTTGTATTTTTACGGCGGTTTATGTGATGATAAACCACTTTGACTGGAAAAAAGTGTTGAAACGGCAGACACGTTGAAAATACTTGTGTAAATATCGTGCTAAAATAGTGCTAGCCTAATCTCTCCACAGTGTCAATAGATTATGGTGTCAATACAGTGTTTAAGTGTAGAGCAAAAACATGAATAATAATAATATGCGTATGGAGTAAAATGTCTTAACAATATTGCATAATTCTGACGTGAGAATAGCCTTAGCTCCTGAAGCGTGGACTCATGTGTAAAAATGTGTTTTGGATGTTTTAATGTGCATTCATATTTCTGTGTTCATTCTGTGTAAATTTGTCAAAAGTGTATAAAATGTAAAATGTTTTCTTCAGGACAGCACTTCAGGGCCACACGGACAACGGACCCTACAAGAATAACAAGAATAACTTTTTTGTTCAAATTTTTTGAAATGACCAAAATGAATTTACATGTAATTCGAGTAAGAGTCTGAGCACAGTTCTATGACGTCCTATCAACTGATTTATGTAGAATTTAAGCTTAAATTTGGTCCCCCAGGACAGGGTAACCAAACTGACAAAACTATATTTTACTTACAGCGTATCAGAAATTTTAGACCATATGCCCTTCCTCACACAACCCATTCTATTTACTCAGGCTTAGAACACCTGACTTAATGATCTGGCAATTGTTCAAATACAGATGTTTTTACAGCAAGAAAAAAACAAGGCTATACCAGGTCTAAACTAGGTCTAAACCAGGACTAAACTAGGTCTAAACCAGGACTAAACCAGGACTAAACTAGGTCTAAACCAGGACTAAACCAGGACTAAACCAGGACTAAACCAGGACTAAACCAGGACTAAACCAGGTCTAAACCAGGACTAAACTAAGGACTTCATCAAGTCTAAACCAGGACTAAATTAAGATTAAACCAGGACTACATCAGATCTAATCCAGGACTAAATAAGACATCAGGTTGAAACCAGGTCTAAAACAGAACTAAACTAAGATTAAAACTTTATTTTTAATGCCATACTGTGGGACATTCCAGGCAAAGCTTTAACATGCTCTTTAAAGTGATCTTTTATTCTTGTATGGTGTGTTTTGGTCGTGGCCCTTCCCTGTGACTCCTCTGTGGCCCTTTAGACAGTGCGTCAGTGTAAAGACCAATGCAATATTTATGTTCATACTAACTCTGTGTGCGGTCCCAAACTTTCACTTTCACTTTTAGCACAACAGCACCGTGTAAGGCTGCACAGCGACGGCACAACATCATACTGGTGTGGGTAAACGTGCAGGAGCTGACCACATGTTCTTGTCCATTGTAAAGTGATAGATTAGGCTTTATCTAGTTATGCACCTGTTTTTTTAAACACTAATATATTTTATTTGTTATACTGCACATAAACATTAAACTTTATTTTTTGAACTGACGTCACCTGTGTTCTCTGGTCAATGATTAGACACTTACACACACAGCAGGGTGTCCACATGTTCCTGTTGACCCGGGACAGTCCCAGATTCGAGCCTGTGTCTCCTGTCCCAACACATTTATACAAAACCACTGATTTGTCCCAGTTTTATACAAGAAATGTCCCACATGTCTCTATTTTGGAACAATCTGATCTAAACTAAGACTAAACTAAGACTGAACCAGGATTACATCGGGTCGAAAACAGGATTTAACTAAGATTAATTCATGACTATATCAGGTCAAAACCAGGACTAAACTAAGATTAAACCAAGATTACATCAGGTATAAACCAGGTCTAAATCAGGATTAATCTAAGACTAAACCAGGACTACATCAGGTCTTAACCAGAACTAAACCAGGAGTAAACTAAGATTAAACCAGGACTGCATCAGGTCTTAACCAGGATTAAACTAGGACTAAATCATGACTATATCAGGTCAAAACCAGGTCAAAACCAGGACTAAACTAAGATTAAACCAAGATTACATCAGGTCTAAATCAGGATTAATCGAAGACTAAACCAGGACTACATCAGGTCTAAACCAGAACTAAACCAGGAGTGAACTAAGATTAAACCAGGACTATACCAGGTCTAAACCAGGACTAAACTAAATTTAAACCAAGATTACATCAGGTATAAATCAGGTCTAAATCAGGATTCATTTAAGACTAAACCAGACTACATCAGGTCTAAACCAGAACTAAACCAGGAGTAAACTAAGACTAAACCAAGATTACATCAGGTCTAAATCAGGACTAAAACAGGACTATCACAATCTTTGATTAATCTGATCTGCGCCAGCAGTAAAGAGGAGCATAAATTGTCATTTGTTTGGCCAAAATACAGATATCTGTGTTTGCAAAAGACCATAAAGCAAAAAATTCAAAAAAATAAATAAAAAATGCAGTGATAGAACTCCCTCAGATTAAGACTGACATGAGAATCTACAATCTTACACGCTCTTTTCACTATTTTATTTATAACAACCATCCCAACCCAGGTGTGTCCCAGAATTAAAAAAATCTGGTTGGCTGGCTGTTCCAGAGGCCTATGGTTCTGTAGGAGAACGAGGACTGACCCAAAGAGGTTCTGCATCTTGGAACACTCCCCCCCAGAGCGTCCGCTTCCAGCCAAACGAAGCTCATGAGAGCAGCAGTTACAGGAGGGAATTTGGAGCCAAGATCAATAAAAGGAAAAGACAAAATAGCACAATTAAAAACACCAGGATCATGTAGAGTGGGTTAATAGCCTCGACATTTTAAGACAAAATTGACGAGGCTCACAGCAGCAGGTACAGAGAGAGGAGATACAATTTTATATGTAAAGTCAAAATATGTAGAGTCAGTGGAGTCAGAAGTGCCCCTCATGCTCTCTTACTATTTGGAATGGGCGGATAGCGGGTTAGTTATGTCCATTTGTATACAGTCTGTGGTGCAAACATTGTTATTTTATTTATTTAAAACAAGGACAGAGCACAGAAAACATAAGACTCCTTCCGTCTGCAGTCCTTGAGCAGGTACAAAATACATTCAGAAAACTATTTACACATCAAAAATACTCAGATTCACTGTCATCAATATCCTCTAAAATGTACAATGTGCTGCTGGATGTGTAAAGGGTTTTTTCATAGATCAGTAACAGGTAAATTCTCAAATACAACAGGACAATACCACAACAGAAAGACAAACAAAAACAAATACATGTACAGAGATTTAGTTTAGTTTATTAAGATCCCCATTATTCTTCCTGGGCTCTCCTCAAATTTATTATATAGAAATTGTTGTGTAACACATAAACTTCACACACACACAGACACACACACACACACACACACACACAATAACAAGACATGAAAGCTCAATGTTCAGGAAAAGTAATAAATAAAATGTAAAAATAAACAATTAAAACAGATATCAAAAACAATAAACCATAAATAAACAGTAACTAATCATTGTGTAAAAAGAAACAGTTTTAACTTTTTTTGAAATAGCTTTTTGTTATTTTCAAACAACAAAAATGCTGTTCAGTGTGTTCCATGCAGCCATGGCTCGATAATCAACAGTCCACGCATTTGATTGGTTCTGCACACAGGAAGTACACCACTTCTATTTTGGATTTGACGGGTTTCATAATTGTGAGAAAAACACTAATTTGTGATAAATTATTTCTGGGATTTTAGTTAAAATTATATTTCTAATATAAGTTAATAAACGGTCCTTGAGTCTGTATTTTACAGTCAGCCAGGCCAACTCATTGTGCTTTATGATTATATTAGTTCTGTACTGGCAGCTCAAAACAGGCCGGGCTGCTTTAACCTGTAACCTGTACAAGTTATTCTCACATGTGTTTGACCAAATGACACATGCATAATCCATCTGAGAAAGAACTAATGACTGTACTGTACATAGAAGATCGTTTATTTTGGTTTTCTTAAGACAATAAAAAAATCTTTAAAATCTATAGAGTGTGAGACGGAATTGCAATCACATAAAGCTTCTACAAACCTAAGCGTTTACCAGAGAAATACGAAGACTTGATCAAGCTGAGACACATTGGATACTAGTGGGATCAGCTGAGTAATCAACGATGAGGTTACAGCGCGCAGCAGTGTTAATGGGTGGGTGTTAATTGCTGAATCACTGTACGAAATCCTACTGTATATTAGTCATTTATTTTCATGAAATTCAGGGAAATCCAAAGTCAGACCTCTTAATCAAACAGTTACACAAACAAGAGGAAGTTTTTATTTGGTTATTTATGTTTTGTGGCATTCCTGTTGTAGGTATAGCCACATTTCCATTAAAAAAGTTTACCGTAACTTTCATTAACATGGATTTATTACATCTTAAAAATACTTATCGTAAATATTTCCAATCCAAACTACATCCAACTAAATCTCAAACTACAGGCGACTAGAACCAAAACTAGAAATTCACTATATTCACTAAATATATCTCAATAACATTCTCATTCTGTTTTCTCTAAGTTTTTGTTTTTATTTGTTTTTAAATGAAAAGGCAGATTTTAAGTTTTTATTTTTGACAGTCTGACTTGCAAAATTAGACATGCATATACTGTACACAGAAATGATTGTAAAATATTGCAGTAACATGGATATCACAGTACGTAACAGACATATCACATATCTCATTTCCTCCAGGATTGTGTAATGTGAGTGTATATATGCATTACTATCTGATGATCACAGGTTTGGCATGTGCCCTGTGTGGAAAAGTTGAGTTGAGGGACACTGGGTGGTTGGCCCATTTGCATGAGCGTCACTTGAACACATTGTGAAAGTGAAGTGAGTCAGAGTGACGCAGGTCCCCTCATGTTTGTGTGTGTGTGCTTCAGTTATGGTCTGAGCCCTCCCCGGTCACCGAGCACACAGCTACTCCCCCGGGAAGTGCAGCGTAAGATGAGCTACTAATGTTAACAGAGACAGCACAAATAGAAAATAACAATAATAATAACCCTGCAGTCCAAATATACATTCACATGTGTTTGGTTTTAAGCAGAGGTCCTACTAAAGGTGGAGGATGTTCTGGTACTGATATTAAAGTTTCTTTTTTAGCACAGTAGGCCTATACAGTTTGGTCTATTAAAAATGATAAGAAATCCTTAATTTGAGAAAAAAGATGAATACTGCTCTCACAAGCAGTCTACTACAGTATTCCTGTAGTAGTAATACAATCAGGGGTGTAGTGGGTGTTGTCCACCATCCGCCGCCATCCACCCACCAGGACTGAATCAGGATTAAAACTGGTCTAAACCAGAATTAAACCAGGACTAAACCAGGACTGCACCAGGTCTATACCAGGGCTGAGTGTTGGGATGGGCCCAGAGCTGCGTCTGTGTAGACCGTCGGGTGACCGCACAAGAAAGGACCAGCACAGAGCTCCCCCCTCACAGGGCTAAGCGCAGCCATCGCCCAATCGCACTTTTGCTGACACCCTGTTTCATGCACTCAGGGTTCTCCCTCTCGCTCTCTAGTCCAAGATGAGTCGTGGTTTAGTCCTGGTTTAGACCTAGTTTAGAGCTAGTTTAGTCCTGGATTAGTCCTGGTTCAGTCCAGGTTTAGTCCTTAGTCCTGGTTTAGTCCTGGTTCATGTGTTGTAATCTATACTTTATGTTTTGTAGGTGATTATGAATGGTTTTAATGTCAATAACATAACATACTCCCACTTAAAAAATCTCACTACACCACTGAATACAACTGAAATAAACTTTTATTTTATATGTTTGACTTTGGCCCCAAAATCTGACATTGTAAAACTAAGTTGAAATGTGTGTAAATGCCATAAAAGTGCTCTTATAACAGGCCTACGACATAAAACTAGAGACTACTAATATGCTGCAACTTATTAGGCAAATAATTTTTTTTTTTTTTTCTATAATTCATTTAGTAAGGCTTGACATAGGCTCTGATTGGGCAACTCTTACGACATGCAAGTCATGTTTGCATGTGTTGTTATTACTGTATAGTGAAAAACCTATTGAGCAAGTTTCTAGATTCATTGCAAAATTATAATGTTGCCTATTTGCCAAAGGCTGTCCACAACGCCACACCATAAGACCGCAAAAATATAGTCCCTCTTTCCTCTTTGACTGGGGGATTTCTCCTGTCCAAAAATGGCGTGGGTGAAGCGAGTGCTGTGTTCAGTGGCCTGTCCGTACCCACCTCCAGTCGCTGCTGATGATGATGGTGATGTGTTTCCATGGCGACGAGGGGGGGAGGTGGGCGGATCCCGGGCTGGTGGGCGGGAGGCAGCCGTTGGGAGCGTGGGCGGGATCTGAAAGGAGCAGGAAGCTGACGGCTTGTGAGAAGGTGTGGGCGTGGGTGAATTATGGCCTCACCACCCTGCAAAGAGCTCCCTGTGCGCAAAAAACACAAAGAATCATCAGGCTCGGTGCAACTTTAGGGTCGGAGTATAGCACAAATATTTAACAAGAATGAG